CTCCTGGCTTCTACAGTCCGTGGGTGTTAGTCTCATTCTACCAAACTCTCCTTATCAAGTTTGCTTTTGACCATCATCTGGTCAAGGCCATTGCTCAGTTTCCAGTCCTAATTCTACCCACATTCACAGTATTTGATAGAGTGGATCCTGAAACTTTTTTTTTTTCATTTGGCTTTGGCACCACTATTGTTACTTTTCTTTCTCCTTATTGTACTCTAACAAATTTTCACCATCTTGATGTCTGAATTTTAGAGTAACTGTCCTGAATTCAAACTTTACACATCAAAAATTTTAATTCCAGGCAGGAGAGCTAGTATAGGGCTTATGGCATTTGTCTTGCCTGAGACCCACTCGGGCTGGAACGATAGCACAGCGGGTAAGGCATTTGCCTTGCACGCAGCCAACAGTTTGGCTGACCCGAATTCGATTCCTCCGCCCCTCTCAGAGAGCCTGGCAAACTACCTAGAGTATCTCGCCTGCACGGCAAAGCCTGGCAAGCTACCCGTGATGTATTCAATATGCCAAACACAGTAACAATTAAGTCTCACAATGGAGACGTTACTGGGCCCGCTCGAGCAAATCGATGAACAACGGGAGAACCATGACCGTGACCATGAGACCCACTCAAGTTACATCCCATCTCCATATGGTCCCCTCAGCATCACCAGCTGCAGTGTTGAAGGCTCCTAAGTATCACTGAAGTGGTTTTAGCAATCCCTGTATCCTCAGGATCCTGCACTGAACCCCCAGATCACTAGGTCACTGGGAGGGACCCCCAGGTTTCCTAAGCATCACTTGAGAGTTACTGAACAAAACAACCCCCACAAAATTCCATCTGACTAGCAATTATAGACAGAGGACTTCCAACTTGAGGTGCTTATCCTAGATTCACCTAGCCAACCACTTCCTGACAGTGACCAAAATAGAACCCTTAATCCACAATAATCCTTTTGTTCCTTTCCTCACCCCCTACAAATTGCTTCTCAGTCCAGATTCCGAATCTCAGAAGAAGCCACTTTTCTTCTCAGTTGCTCTAAGTAAAACATGTTCATCCTTAACTCTTTTTGCTTTCCCAAGCCCTGACCACAATTCATTTGCCAAGTCCTGTTAGGCCCTCTCTTCCTGCGGACGTATCCAGAACCTGCCTAGTTCTTTGCAGTTCTGTGGCTTAGCTTCCAGCAGTCAGAGCTCTCCAGAAAACAAAACATTTTCTCTTGCATGTATAATATGATGTGTATATTTCATTACGGAGCGGGATTATACAGGATTGACTCACGAGATTGTGAAGAAGTCCCCAAACCTGGAGTTGGTGAGTTGGCAAATTGAAGAAAGCTGGTAAGAGAACTCCTGTCTGAGTTTCAGGACCTGAGATTCAGGAGAACAAGTGGTGTCCATCCAGTTTGATAGCAAGTGCAAAGACAAGAGGCAAGTGAGGTCCCAGCTTGAAGACAGGGAGAAAAATTCTCCCCTACTCTGGCTTTCGCTCTGTCTAGGTTTTCAACATCTTGGGTGAGACTCACCCATAGAAAGAGAGCAACAGCCTCTACTCATTCTCCAGCTTTAAATGTTTGTTAATCTCCTCCACAGACACACCCAGAAGAATGTTTAACCAAATACCTGGGCACCAGTGGCCCAGTCAAGCTCACACCTAATATTAACCACCATAATAGCTTCCTAACTGGTTGGTCTGCTCCCATCCTCATCACTTAATCCACCCCCAATATGACAATGCATTGCAAACAACAACTTAAGAAAAGAAGCAGCTCACTTTATCACCCTCTGCTAAAAATTCTCCAGTGCCTTCCTTTCTCGATCAAAGAAAAATGTAAAAAACCCTCGTGACCACAGAGCATGATGTCTTCTGTGCTCAGGAGCCTCAGTCCCCACCACACTTCTCCCCTCATTCTGTTCCACCCACAGCAAGGCGACAGCAAGCAGCCAGGCCTGCTCTTGTCTCGAAAGATCTCTCAGCCTGAAATAGGCTTACTACAAAATCCACATTGGTTTCTCCCTCATCTACTTAAAAAAAAAATTAATAATCTTTGTAACTCTCCCCTCTTTTTTTTTTTTAGAAAAAAGAAGAGTTTATTATCTAGCATCTTTTACTTTGTTTTACCTCTAAAATTAGCTTTTTGAAAAGGATTTACAGAAAAACAAAAGTGAAGATCATAGAGAGCATTCCCATAAAACCTGTTTCTACTTCCCCTGTCATGACTGCTTTATAATTGCATTGTCCACCATCACAGCTCATCCAACAGTCTTGACACTCTGCTAGCAGCGAGTCCATCCTTGGTTCAGCAGTCATTAGGGACTTGACTCAGCAGTCCTTAGCAATCTCTTTGGGTTTGTTTGCTCGTTTCATTATTATTTTTTTTTTTGCCACACCCAGCTGAGCTCAGGGATCACTATTTTGTTTTGTCTTGTTTTGCTTTTTGGGTCACACTCGGGGATGCTCAGGGGTTACTCTTGGCTTTGCACTCAGGAATTACTCCTGGCGGTGCTCAGGGGACGATACGGGACGCTGGGAATCAAACCGGGGTCGGCTGCATGTAAGGCAAATGCTCTACCCGCTGTACTATCGCTCTAGCCCCTCAGGGATCACGCTTGGTGGTACTCTGGGATCTTATATGGTACTAGGAATTGAACAGGGTCAGTCAACTGGACGACAGGTGCCTTACCCTTTGTACGATTTTGCCAGCCTTGCATTCGTAGTTTTAACTGAACACTTCTCTGTCCCAGGAATCCCATACCAGACACCCCATTACGTTTTTTTTAGTAGTAGTTCTCCTTAGATCATTCATGGATGTAACACTTTTTCAGATTCTGATTGGTTTGAATATTTTATTGACAAGTCAGAAGAATATTGGTTAGAAATTTTGTAGGATGTCCCACCACTGGTGTTTGTTTTCTTAGAATACTGCAGCTTTGGGGGTTAGAGAGATAATAGCTCCTAGGGCATTTTCCTTATACAAGGCTGACTAGAACTTGATCCCAGGCACCCCATATGGTCCTCCAGGTGCCACCTGCACTGATTCCTGAGGTCCCAGCCAGGAGTAAACCCTAAGCACCACTGGGTGTGGACCCAAAACAAACAAACAAAAGACAGGAACTATGACTGTCCTTGGGGAACACCACAGAGGTAAAGGGCCATTTTCATGTCAGGAGCTCATACCATTTTTATGATTTATGACTGTTAATGTAAACCTCGGTCATCTGGTCCGGCAAGTGTTCATTAAGTGTCCCCAGTGAAAAGGCACGCCTGCACGTTCGGAGAGAAAATCAATTTGAGCTGCGTATACTTTTTTCGACCTGCTCCGTTTCCGACCGTTTTTTGGGGGCTGGGGCGATAGCACAGCGGTAGGGTGTTTGCCTTGCACGCAGCCAACATGGCTGACCCGAGTTCGATTCCTCCACCCCTCTCAGAGAGCCCGGCAAGCTACCGAGAGTATCTCACCCACACGGCAGAGCCTGTCAAGCTCCCTGTGACGTATTCGATATGCCAAACACAGTAACAACAAAGTCTCCAATGGAGACGTTACTGGGCCCGCTCGAGCAAATCGATGATCAACGGGAGGGCCTTTACCTTTTTTACCTTACCTTTATACTTTTTTTAAAAAGTTTTTTGAGCCATACTCTGCTTGCTGAGGGGTGCGTGGCTCTGCACTCAGAAATCACTCCTGGCGGTGCTCAGGGGACCACATGATCAAACCGGGTCTGCCGAGAGCAAGGCAGATGCTTCCCTCTGTGCTACACCTGGCCCAGAGCAGCACATACTTAAGGAGTGGGAAGTTAAGGGTTCTCCTTGAGAGAGTATCCTCATAAAGATTTGAATTTCTACACTGGAGGCCTAGCTCTTCGCCACCATTTATTCAATTATTTATTTATATTGTTGAGAATTTAGCGAACCCTCCCCTGCCCCACACACACTCCCTACAGTTTGTAATTTAATCCTATTTTATTTTGTTCCTTCAAATTGTTCATCGTTGAGATTGGGAAGATTTTTTACTTATCTCCCTTGAGTCTTGGGCAATAAATATCCCCGCCTTTTTTTGGGGGGGTGAGGCACACCTAAATGTACTCAGGGATTACTCCTGGCTCTGCACTCAAGAATCACTCCTGGCGGTGCCCGGGAACCATATGCGATGGGAGTGCAGAAAAATCCAAGTGGTCAGCCGGCAAGTTTCTACCCTCTATACTATCACACGGGCCCCTAGTTACCCCACCTCTCCCACCTTCTTTTTTGGGGTGGAGGGTGGTGGGTTGGAGGTGCCATACTTGGTGATGCTGAAGGTAATGCCAAGCTTGGAACTTTCCCTGGGGGTGGGGGGAAGGGGATTTCATGGTTCTCACCTGCAAAGCTTTGTCAGATCTCTAAGCTCTCTCTCCTGCCCTTTTGGGGGGATCATTTTCTTATTTTTAAGCTCAGCCTTATTTTCCCAGGTAGCATACAATTCACAGAGTAGACTGTTTCCCTTCTAATCTCGCTTCTTTAGAATGCCAGCAGGCCTTGGAGGGGAAGTGCTGGGGGTTTTGGTGGGGGGTGAAGTTACTTTTGACCACCAGAGTGGTCTTGGCTCTTGACCACACACTCAACAGGTGTTGTTACCAGAATGATTGAATAAATAATGAATGAATGAATGACGCGCAGGTGTGGATGCCCAGGAGCGCGGTGCATCTGTTCCCGTCGTCGTCGGTGCTCAGCCTCGTGGAGCCGCTTTGTCCATCCAGGGCCGCCTGCCTCACCCGTGCAAGACCACGTTCACGCAGCCCCACGACGTCATCAGCGCCGCGGGGATTCCCAGGGAAAGTCCCACGCCGCGGTGGAGGGGGTGGAGGGGGGACGTCGACGACGGTGCTGCGCCCGCGTGGGAAGGCCCCGGAGGCGGCGGGCGCAGGTCCGGGGCGCTCGGCGGGCCGGCCGGCCGGCGGGGCGGGGACGGGTGCGGCCGTCCCGGGGCGGGGCCTGTCCCAGCTGCGGGCGCTTCCGACGCGGAGGCCGGGGGTGGCCCGGCGCGTCCAGATGCGGCGGCGGCGGCGCGGAGCTCGGGCGGGCGGCGGCGGCGGCGGGAGGCGCCGGGAGACGCGCGACAGGTGTCCCACCCCTCCCGGCGCCGGAGCGGGGACTCGCCGGCTCTCACGGTTGGTCTGGGGATGGGGGGCGTTTCTCTCCCTGTAGCGCCCGGGGGGGGGGGGGGGGGGAAGAGGTGCGGGGATAGGGGGTGGGGAGCGCGTTGGGTAGGTGTGGGAGGGGGAGACACTGCAGGTGTGCGGGGAGCGAGCACGTCGGGGATGAGCGCATCGTCGGCCTCACACCTCCGCCTGGCATCCCCGGGAGCACATGCTGGATGGCTCAGAGCAGAGTGATTTTTTTTTTGTTTGTTTCTCTCTCTTCCTTTCCCACCTAGTGGGCGAGATGCTAAGGGGCCTCCTAGGAATTATTTCATAGAAACTTCGTGGACAGGCGTCTGGTACCAAGTACCTTCCTTGCATTTCAAGTCGAAAAGCTGGAGAATTTAGAATTTATCTTTTTTTCTTAAATTAGTGTGAACACTTCTCGCGCTTGATCACCCCTTCACTTCCTATGAGGTTGCACTTTTCAAAAAAAAATAAACCACCCAAATTTACCCCTTTTGATTCGAACTTGTCATTATGACTCAGGAGTCAGGAAATACAGAGCACTTGATAGCGCCTGCAACAACGGTTCCTCACCAACCCACATAAGAAAGTTTCTTCGCTCTTTTTTCTGCTCTTCTTAGAAGAGCGGAGACTAGAGGTGATGGCAAGTGTCTCTGAGAACCTCACCGGGGCCTGCTAGGGAATTCTTGCCTCCTTCGCTCTCGCTGAGGACAGACTGACTTCCTGTGGTGCTCAGGCCCTTGTCTAAGCTGTTTCTCAGCAAAGGGAGGAGTTGTTATTTCCACACCGGTCTCCAGAAGTGAGTCACAGGGTTCCACTCTTAATTGAGTGATTCGGTTAATGAACTTTCTGAAAGGTGAGGTTGGCGTTTTTGTCTGTAAGGCGGTGGGAAAGTGATGGGAAAGGCGTGTCTGCCAAGCTGAGGTGTGCGGAAGTAACACTTCAACTTTTTCAGTTTCCACAGCGCCTGATGGTTCCACATACCAGCAGGGTCACTAGGCTGATGGACGATAACCAATGCAATCACGTGCTTTGCCACAAAGGCCCAGAAAAATCAACTTCATGAGTCAATAACCAGTTCTTTATTACTTGCACTGGTATGGTAGAAAGATGTCATTTTACTTCACAGTTGCCGCTTTATAAGCAGATGTTCAGTTGGAGCTTATCTTTAGTAAATTAGTGCTAAAAAAAGACTTAAAATTTTTTTTGAAAAGGTGGATACCAGTTGAAACTGGAAAGTGAAAATGTTTAAGGGGCGTGCATTGGTGCTCTACAGAAGCTCTTAGGAAATGATGACTGTTAGCTCAACCCCCAGAGGACTCACAGCGAGCCTGTTGGAGCTAAGGTGAACTGAGTTCATCCCAACAGACATTTGTCTGGCACCGTCTCTTAACTCTCCAGTGAATTCTGGGTAAATAATAGTGAATAAATCAGGATCCTGCCAACCTGGGTCCATACACCTTTGTGATTGATTGCCCATTGGAAAATTCAATAGAAGAGAGAGCATTTCTGTCTGGAGGGGCCCTCTAGCTCAGTTGAACAGATGTTTCTGCAGATCTAGATGGTTTTTAATTATTTTTCTCTTCCTTATTATCACTAGTTTATGATATTAAAGAATTTCCAGGAAAAGTAGGCTTAACACCATTCTGGGTAGAGGATTGATGACTCACCACCAAGTTGAGGGTCATCTTATCCCTCAAAAATCCCCTCTCCTCAATGCTCCACCACATCTATGCCTACTGCTAATCACTGTAATTTTCATTCAGTCTAGGAGGAAAATTTGTTGGGTTTTTCTGGGTCAGTTGCTCTATTTATTCATATTCCATATGTGAATGAAGCCAGTAGTAATTGTCTTGTTAGGTTTTTACTTATTTCACTTAGCATCATCAAGTATATACTGAAATATACACTCATCATCCTAAATTTTGTTTTTAAAAGGCACAATCTCATCTTTTGACTTATTCATTTTGTGGTGCTGGGACTCAAACCTGGAGCCTCATATAAGATGTGTGGTCTGCCACTAAGCCACATCCCCAGCCCGTTAAATGGGAAAGGAGTATTACACTGATTATGTATGCCTCACCTTGTCTATAGGCACTTATGTGAATTCCATGTTTTGGCTATTGTGAACAATGCCTCTATGAATGGAGGCATGCAACTGCCAGGGAAGTATGATTTTTAATTTGATTTTGGGCCACACCCAACCATGCTAAGTTTTAATTCCTGACTCTGCACTCAGGAAACACTCCTGTTGGGTTTGGGGGAACTTATGGGATACTGGAGACCATATGGGATGCCAGGGATAGAACCCAGGTTGGCCATGTACAAGACAAAGGCCCTACCCTTTGTACTATATCTCCAGTCCCAAAAGAAGTATGATTTTTATAGCACATTTTATACTGTGTAACAGTCATAAAATAAGATAAAGCCAGCCGGTTATTACCCTGAGACAATTACAGACACTTTTAGTGGTGCCCTTTAAAACTGGTGGGTAATAGGTGGCTTATAGCTTTATGCTTTCATATTGAACAAACACCTTTCTTATTGTTCTTATAGTTCAGATCAATATTTTCTTCATTCTAGCATATGAATCAAAACAATACGACCATAGTGTCACAGTGAACTGTTGGGATGGAAATCTGTTGAATTGCTTTTGAATTACATTCTCCAGTAGGTTTAATTTCTCTGATTCTATTGGCAACTCGTATGGAAACCATCCCCAACCTTGAGATTTCATCTCCATTCCATTTTGTTTTCTCCCTCAATAGTGTCAAGTTTTCTGTGAGAAAGAAAGCTTCGAGTGTGTTCTTTCTTCTTGAACACCCAGAACTTGGCACCAGCATTTCTCTCAAGTGTGAGGAAATATTTTGATAAAATAACGCGCCTTAGAGGAAGAGGTGGAGTTGTCAGGCAGCTGGAGGGTGAGGCAGACTCCAACAAGGCTTGCCCATATGATTGGGTCAGAGATCTAGTCTAGTAAGTGTGAGCACAGGAAAAATGCTGGAGTGAGGCTGGGAGGCATGATCACCGGGACCCAGTGCCTTCGAGGTTTACCCCCCCCCCCCCCCCCAGCACACACACCAGCTCTGTCCCAGGACTTGAAGCAAATGGATGATATTGTTAGATACATGTTTTTTAAAAATCATTTGTTTGTTTTTGGGTTACACCCTGCGATGCTCAAGGCTTCCTCTTGGGTCTCTACTCAGGGATCACTCTTGTGGGGTGCCAGAGATGGAACCCAGTGTGCAAAGAAAGTACCCTACTATCACTCTGTGACCCCAGATGCATGTTTGTAAAAGACAACTTAGGATCATCCCTCAGGATGGGAGATGTGTGCTGGAAGTAGATAAAGGACCAAACATGATGCCTCTCAGTATCTGTATTACAAAACTATAGTATAGACAGAGTAAGAAGGAAATTGTCATAGATGCAGGGCATGGGGTGGAGTGGGGGTGGTGGGAAAGATACTGGGTATATTGGTGGTGTAAAATGTACACTGGTGAAGGGATGGGTGTTCAGTCATTGTATGACTGAAACTCAATCATGAAAGTTTTGTAACTATACTTCACAGTGATTCATTTTTAAAAAATAAAATAATAATAACTTTTAAAAAGACAACTTAGGATCCAGATGGAAAATAGAGTGAAAGGTAATGCCACAGGTCCTAGGGAGGAATGGAGAATATTGTTGTCACATTGGAGCTGAGAAATTAAGACTTGAGTCTGGTAATGACAATGAGTGATATGAAAAGAGGAAGGGAGCTGGCCAGTGTTTAATAGGTGGAACTAGGTAACATCTTTAGAGATGGGTATTAAGGGAGAGGGAGGGATTTAATATGATTTACACATTCCTCTTTAATGATAGGATAGAAGAGTAATTGGAAGGGTGGGTTTGGGTCAAAGGATGATGTGTTTTTGCAGTATTTGACACACAGTCAGTGTTCAATAAAGGCTAAATTAAAAATTTTTTTTTTGTTTTTTTTGGGGGGGATCACTAAGGAATTACTCCTGGTGGTGCTCAGGGAACCATATGGGCTGCTGGGAATTGAACCTGAGTCAGCTGCGTGCAAGGCAAATGCCCTACCTGCTGTACTATCGCTCCAGCCATTGATTGTTTATTATATGATTTAATTTTTTAAATTATTTTATTTTTCTTGGTGCAATGTTTGAAGCCATGCCTGGTGGTGCTCAGGGGCTACTACTGACTCCCTCTCAGGGGACCATCTGTCAGAGGACCCCATGTGGTGCTGGGATTCAAAGCAGAGTTGTTCTCCTGCATTAAATGCACCTTATCCTTTGTACTATTTTTCTGGCCCCTCCAGGCTCTGTTATTCACTTCACTATGTGAATTGTCTTTTATTTCCCATTGCAACCCTATGAGAGAAGTGCTAGCATCAAGACTTTGGCCAGGTGAAGAAAATTCAGGGTTCGTACTGGACAGGGTCTGAAATTGACCCCAAGCAACTGGTTGCAGGGTTCGCATTCTGAATTATTCATCTCCAATATGATGGATGGATGGATGGATGGATGGATGGATGGAAGGATGGATGAATGGAAGGAAGGAAGGAAGGAAGGAAGGAAGGAAGGAAGGAAGGAAAGAAGGAAGGAAGGAAGGAAGGATGATGTCTTAGGCATTGTCTAAAATTTACATTGGAGTCACTCTCTTATCATCTACTCTCTCATCTAAGAATAGCCCAGTACAGTTACCATGCCCCACCCTTATGGCTCTATATGTTCCCTGTACTCCTCTCTCCTCCTCCACCCTTAGAACTACGTAGGGTTTTGTTTTATTTTAATTTTTTAATTGAATCACTTTGGACAAACTTGCAGGCTGTCGAATGTAGCCTGCCCACAGGGCAGAGTCTGACAAACTCCCCGTGGCCTACCAAATATGCCAAATACCAGTAACAATGATGGGTCTCATTCTCCTAAAGAGCCTTGAATATAATCTCAGGGCTAGGATGAAAGAGACGTTACTGGGGCCTGCTCGAGGCAATCGACGAT